TATACCGGTCCTCTCACACATGTAGTGTAAGATTTGTCTCGTTCGACTGTCTTTTAGGTTGTGTTAAACCATGCACGACCCAACCTAACCATGTGCTGCTAGCAACCGGACCGTCAAAGGATTCGTACTTCAACTTGCCCTATTGTCTTGTCCTATTAGAATTCTAGGATATGCCCGATCGTAAGATGGATGGGCAAAGTTCTTTAAAAACTGAAAGTTGTCTGTCATGTCGTCTATGTTTAAGGTTTGCAGCGGCAAATTGAGACTAGAAACAGTCCTTACCCTTCTCATCGTGTGTGTCTTAGTATTAGAACCACTGCCTTTGATGCGTACGCTGACTACTTTAGAGTTATCTTGTTCATATGTTTCATTGTTAGTCCATTGCATTTTCAAAGGCTTTGTTGGACCGTCAAGACCTAAATCGTTAGCTAACTTTTCATCAACTAAGGAAATGGTGGACGCTTCATCAAGAAGAGCATATGTTTTAATCAAATTTTGTGGTCCCATAAGAGTGACATGTACCACTTTTAACAAAACTTTGTTTGTATTCCAGTTAACGTTGCAATTCTTTTCTGTGTTACTTGAGACTGTCTGTTCACTACCCTCAGACTTGCATGATTGTATGTTTTGAGATTTGTCTTTATGTAGAAGACTATTATGACTGTAACTACAATTATTTCTGTTACATTGTCTTTTACGTTTGCAGTCTTTAAGTAAATGGTTTTTACCAAGGCACGAAATACACAGGTTAGTTTGAGTTACATGCTCCCAGCGTTTGTCAACATTTAAATCTTTAAATTTAGTGCAAATATTCACGTAGTGATCAGTCAGTTTGCAAAAAATGCAAAAACCTTTCACCTGAGCTTTGCCTGTGCCCGAATACCCGAAACCGTCAAATTGGTGTCTCTAGACTTGCTGATAATGTGGCCAAATCCTAAAGTGGTGGCAGCTTTGATAGTCTCACCTAGCCACGAATGAAAAATAATTATTTTTGGGTCAATTTTTTCTTTTAACTTTTGATAGTATTTTACGAAGGCAATACGTTGATGCATGGGAAGCTTGTCTAAAATCTCATCGAAAATTAAAGGGTTTCTTATTTGATCTATATCACCGATATTCAGCAAAGTGTGAACCAGATTGATGATTATGTCATAGAATGCAAAAAGTTTGTCGTATTTGTCGTCTCTAATAACTGGGAACTGTTTGATTTTGTCAAGGAGCAATCTTATTATGTAACATGGGTCTCCAAAACGCTCTGTAAGGATTCCAATAATGGAAATGATGCCGCATGCCTTCGCGTATCAGGACGACATTATCGTCATCGGCCGAACGCTCGAAGAGCATATGGAAAACCTGAAGGAAGTGTTTAGGAGACTACGGGCTGCCAACCTGAAAGTAAATGCGGAAAAATGCAAATTTTTTAGAAAGGAACTGCAATACTTGGGGCATCGCATAACAGACCAAGGCATCGGAACAGACCCAGAAAAAGTGTCGGCAATTGCCTTAATAAAACCACCGGCCAACGTTAAGAAGTTACGACAATATTTGGGAGTGGCGTCGTGGTACAGGCGTTTTGTGCCAGATTTTGCAACGTTGGTGCATCCGTTGAATAGCCTGCTCCGGAAAAGCACAAAATGGGAATGGACAGAGGACCACCAACAGGCGTTTGAAGCTGTCAAGGCCAGGCTAATCGTAGACCCAATCTTAGCATGCCCAGATTTCACAAAGACATTTGTGCTGCAGACCGACGCCAGCGATTACGGGCTCGGTGCTATTCTCACACAGAATTCCGACCAAGGCGAGAGTGATCTCGTATTCCAGTAGGTCCCTGAATGGTTCGGAAAGAAATTTCTCAGCGACTGAGAAGGAATGCCTGGCAATTGTGTGGGCCATACGCAAGTTAAGGCCATACTTGGAGGACTACCATTTCAAAGTGATCACGGATCATATGGCACTGAAGTGGTTGAATAGCATCGAGAGCCCAACCGGAAGAATCGCACGATGGGCGCTGGAACTGCAGCAATATGACTTTGAGATCGCGTACAGAAAGGGCCAGCTGAATATAGTAGCAGACGCACTATCACGGCAGCCACTACCAGAAACGTGTCGACGGGTAAAAACACAGGAACAGCACAAGGAAGCCGGCGAGTGTAACTGGATAAGGGATATGCGGAGCAAGATTTCCCAAAATCCCCAAAAATATCCAGACTACATGACAGAAGCCGACCAGCTATATCCCCACATACCGCACAGAGCAGGCAACGAGGATGTCACATCATGAAAGCTGTGCGTGCCAACGGGGTCCAGGCGGCGGGTAATGTCGGAGAACCACAACTCACCGACAGCTGGCCACATTGGCAGTCGGAAAACAATTGGCAGAGTCGCAGCAAGATACCATTGGCCGGGAATGCACCGCGACATAAGGAAATATGTGCAAAACTGCGAGAGCTGCCTACGATATAAGCCAAGCCAACTACAGGCGGCCGGAAAAATGCTGACCCAAGTACCGGAAGAGCCGTGGGCCACTGTGTGCGCAGATTTCGTCGGACCACTGCCCCGCTCCAAACACGGGAATTCTATGCTACTAGTGCTGGTAGATAGGTTCTCCAAGTGGACCGAAATGGTGCCAATGCGCAGGGCAACGACGGAAACTCTGGAAAAGGCGATCCGCGAGCGGATCCTCGCAAGATACGGCGTACCCAAGGTGCTGATTACAGACAATAGCGTTCAGTTTACCAGCAGGGCGTTTAAAAAATTCCTGGGTGAATTAGGCGTCCGACACCAGTTTACGGCCCCATACACGCCCCAGGAAAACCCGACGGAGAGAGCCAACAGGACGGTGAAAACGATGATCGACCAGTTCACCGGGGCAGACCAGAGGACTTGGGCTGAAAAGTGGCCGGAGCTGCAGTTGGCCGTGAATACGAGCGTGGCTGAATCCACGGGATATTCGCCTGCTTTTATTACGCAAGGGAGAGAGCCTAGGTTACCCAGCGCACTGTACGACGAAGGAACAATCGGCACAGGAAGGGAAACGCAAACTCCGGCCGAGAACGCACAGAAGCTTAAAGAAATCTTCGAGCTGGTGAGGCGAAATATGGAAAAGGCAGCGCAGGATCAGGCACGCCACTACAATCTGCGCAGACGCCCATGGAAACCGAACATCGGTGACACAGTCTGGGCCAAAGAACATCATCTGTCCAAGGCCGCAGAAGGATTCGCCCCAAAAATGGCACCAAAATATGACGGGCCTTTTAAGATAATAAATTTTAATTCGCCGGTGATATGCAATTTGCGGCATGAAAAGACTGGCAAAGAAAAAACCGCCCACGTTAGCCAATTAAAAAAACAATTTATTGATGGCCAAAAGAGAGGATCGAAGTCGGACTTAGCGGGGGCGCACTGTGAATCCAAAGAGAGGGAGAGGACGATACACAGTATCGAACTCACACAGATGCTTTAGGAGCGCGAGAGCGGGAGAGGGAGGGTCATAGGATGCGGATACCGTTACCGGGTAACGCATACCAAAGCGGGGACCCGTCGGAGCCCGTAGCAAGGGAAAGTCCAAAGGCCGCCGCGGATAACGGAACCGGAAACATGGGCAACAGAGGCTTCGTCAGCGCGCGAGCGCCACAAGACGGGCCTATTGAAATCAGGTCGCCAAGATGCAAGCACCCAGCAGCAGCAACAGTCAGGTCGTGAGGGGACAGGGGCGGGGAGGCAGCCCGGGCAACAGCCAGCGGCGAGATGGAGGCGGGCCTCAGGTTCCGCACTTCAGCTGCTGGCGTCCCCCCTGGTGTCGCGGTCCTCGTCGCCGAACCCCGAATGGGAGGACGAGGAGCGCATAACGGATATAGAGCTGGAGGAGAAGGCCGGCGTCCGGCCGGCAGGGCAGGAGGCCGAGGTGACAAACATCGACCTGTCTTCGTTCGAGGAGGAGGAGGAGGAAGACAAGGAGTACACCGGGACGGAGACGGTGAGTCCAGAGGTCTCCTCGGACGAGGAGGACGAGCCATGTCGGGCGGCGAAGGCCCGGATGGCATTCCGTCGAATAAGGAGGGCCGCAGCCGGATTCGGGCGGATCTGGTTGGGCGACGCAGCGCCATCGGGCCACCCGGAGGAGGCAAAGCGTATATTCGCAACCCGGGCAGAGGTGGTGCGGCGAGTATTCGCGCAGCGGGCGGTGGCACGGGCAGCCGCAGCAGCCAGGGAGTGGCAAAAGCGGCTGGATGAGGCTGAGGCCGAAGAGGCAGCAATCTGGGCACGGCCAGGCCCTCCGGAGCAGCCGCCGCTGCAAGCACCTCCACCGCCGTCGCCACCGCCGTCGCTGTCGCAGCCGCCACCACTGTCGCCGCCCCGGGCAGCATCACCGCCACCGCCACCACCGTCGCCGCCCCGGGCAGCAGCACCGCCACCGCCACCACCGTCGCCGCCCCGGGTAGCAGCACCGCCACCGCCACCACCGTCGCCGCCCCGGGCAGCAACACCCCCACCACCGTCACCGCCGCAGGCACCACGGCCATCCCAGGCACCACGGCACGGAGCGGAGACACCACCGCCGCCGTGGGTGCCAACGCCTTCGCCGTTGCCAGCAAAACGGCTCGGTGGGGAGCCGGACTTCTGGGAGAAGGGGCCCTGGGTGTGGCCGACATCAGGAGTGCTAGTGACGTCGTGCCCGGAGCCGCGGTCCCCACCAGCCAGGCCGTCAGTGTCCCGCCAACATTCGGCGGACAGCAGCCACTGGCAGGAGATGGCCGAGGAAGAGTGGCCGCCCAGGGTGGCAGCCGAGGCCAACAGGCAGCAGAGGAGAGCCCGTAGCAGCCGCTGGGCCAAACTCCTCGTGGTAGACGGCGTCCGCTACCGCATCCGGGTATCCAACGGGGTGGTAAGAGTCCTGAGGGGCTAATAAAAGCCATTAATTAATTTAAAAATTCACAATCGGTTTGTTTATTTACCTTTTGGAATAAGGGAGTTGCTGAACATAGGTAATAGGGACGGGGGCGCCGAGATAGGCGGTCGATCGATAGTTGCGATCGATGGGTTAACAAAATTGGTTATTTCTATGTTCAAGAATTCAAATGGCAACTTAAGACAACGAAAAGGCAACGACGATGGCAACACTGGAACCCACAATCGATAAACGCGATCGTGGTGAGATTCCAGGGAGTTGCCGGACCGAGGGAAAGCGAAATGGTGACTTTTAGTTTGGGGAAATGTCTGGGCGGGAAAATTCGAATTCCACGCAGGGAACTGTCTGAGGTGAGATTCCAGGGAGTTGCCGGACCGAGGGAAAGCGAAATGGTGACTTTTAGTTTGGGGAAATGTCTGGGCGGGAAAATTCGAATTCCACGCAGGGAACTGTCTGGGGAACTGGGAACTGTCTTGGGAACTGGGAACTGTTAGCGTACCACTTGAGTCGCCAAGCCACTTGACGTTCACGGACAGCGCCAGCTTTGCCTGAGCTACCTTTTCTATTTTTACTAACCCTAGCTTATAAACTCCTTGTGTGGGAGACAATTATGATGACTCTGTACCTTTGTATATCTTAGAACATAAGCAATGCAATGTATTTTTAACTAACAGCCCCATACCACTTCTTTGCTATGGTGCCCCCCTTGACTCTGAAAAACGTGTATATAAACCCGACCTTTTGCCCTAATAAAGTCAGTACTCAAGCAATACTTGTGTATTCAACTACTCTGCGTTCTACGAGTGAGCATCGCTGTGTCTTTGGCCCTCATACGCATGATCCCTCCGAGTTAAACCAATTTAAGTGTTGGTTTAGCAACCTATCGTCACTAGAGTATGTTCTAGGGGCAACCATTCCTATAAATAATAAAAAATAAAACTACAAACATTTTGGTGACCCCGACCATTGCATGAAATTCTAGTCAACTTGGCGACTAATTTCTGCACATACTTTGCTAGACAGATTCCCGATCAACTTGGCGATCGGATCTTCTAGAGTTAAAGTTGTGAAACCCTTGTTCAATAATTCAGATATTGAACAAAATTCATAACAAAGGGAATTTTGCCACGAATAAATTTCGTGGGAGAGGGAGGGTCATAGGATGCGGATACCGTTACCGGGTAACGCATACCAAAGCGGGGACCCGTCGGAGCCCGTAGCAAGGGAAAGTCCAAAGGCCGCCGCGGATAACGGAACCGGAAACATGGGCAACAGAGGCTTCGTCAGCGCGCGAGCGCCACAAGACGGGCCTATTGAAATCAGGTCGCCAAGATGCAAGCACGCAGCAGCAGCAACAGTCAGGTCGTGAGGGGACAGGGGCGGGGAGGCAGCACCGGGCAACAGCCAGCGGCGAGATGGAGGCGGGACTCAGGTTCCGCACTTCAGCTGCTGGCGTCCCCCCTGGTGTCGCGGTCCTCGTCGCCGAACCCCGAATGGGAGGACGAGGAGCGCATAACGGATATAGAGCTGGAGGAGAAGGCCGGCGTCCGGCCGGCAGGGCAGGAGGCCGAGGTGACAAACATCGACCTGTCTTCGTTCGAGGAGGAGGAGGAGGAAGACAAGGAGTACACCGGGACGGAGACGGTGAGTCCAGAGGTCTCCTCGGACGAGGAGGACGAGCCATGTCGGGCGGCGAAGGCCCGGATGGCATTCCGTCGAATAAGGAGGGCCGCAGCCGGATTCGGGCGGATCTGGTTGGGCGACGCAGCGCCATCGGGCCACCCGGAGGAGGCAAAGCGTATATTCGCAACCCGGGCAGAGGTGGTGCGGCGAGTATTCGCGCAGCGGGCGGTGGCACGGGCAGCCGCAGCAGCCAGGGAGTGGCAAAAGCGGCTGGATGAGGCTGAGGCCGAAGAGGCAGCAATCTGGGCACGGCCAGGCCCTCCGGAGCAGCCGCCGCTGCAAGCACCTCCACCGCCGTCGCCACCGCCGTCGCTGTCGCAGCCGCCACCACTGTCGCCGCCCCGGGCAGCATCACCGCCACCGCCACCACCGTCGCCGCCCCGGGCAGCAGCACCGCCACCGCCACCACCGTCGCCGCCCCGGGTAGCAGCACCGCCACCGCCACCACCGTCGCCGCCCCGGGCAGCAACACCCCCACCACCGTCACCGCGCGGTCCAGGCACCACGGCACGGAGCGGAGACACCACCGCCGCCGTGGGTGCCAACGCCTTCGCCGTTGCCAGCAAAACGGCTCGGTGGGGAGCCGGACTTCTGGGAGAAGGGGCCCTGGGTGTGGCCGACATCAGGAGTGCTAGTGACGTCGTGCCCGGAGCCGCGGTCCCCACCAGCCAGGCCGTCAGTGTCCCGCCAACATTCGGCGGACAGCAGCCACTGGCAGGAGATGGCCGAGGAAGAGTGGCCGCCCAGGGTGGCAGCCGAGGCCAACAGGCAGCAGAGGAGAGCCCGTAGCAGCCGCTGGGCCAAACTCCTCGTGGTAGACGGCGTCCGCTACCGCATCCGGGTATCCAACGGGGTGGTAAGAGTCCTGAGGGGCTAATAAAAGCCATTAATAATTTTAAAAAAATCACAATTGGTTTGTTTATTTACCTTTTGGAATAAGGGAGTTGCTGAACATAGGTAATAGGGACGGGGGCGCCGAGATAGGCGGTCGATCGATAGTTGCGATCGATGGGTTAACAAAATTGGTTATTTCTATGTTCAAGAATTCAAATGGCAACTTAAGACAACGAAAAGGCAACGACGATGGCAACACTGGAACCCACAATCGATAAACGCGATCGTGGTGAGATTCCAGGGAGTTGCCGGACCGAGGGAAAGCGAAATGGTGACTTTTAGTTTGGGGAAATGTCTGGGCGGGAAAATTCGAATTCCACGCAGGGAACTGTCTGAGGTGAGATTCCAGGGAGTTGCCGGACCGAGGGAAAGCGAAATGGTGACTTTTAGTTTGGGGAAATGTCTGGGCGGGAAAATTCGAATTCCACGCAGGGAACTGTCTGGGGAACTGGGAACTGTCTTGGGAACTGGGAACTGTTAGCGTACCACTTGAGTCGCCAAGCCACTTGACGTTCACGGACAGCGCCAGCTTTGCCTGAGCTACCTTTTCTATTTTTACTAACCCTAGCTTATAAACTCCTTGTGTGGGAGACAATTATGATGACTCTGTACCTTTGTATATCTTAGAACATAAGCAATGCAATGTATTTTTAACTAACAGCCCCATACCACTTCTTTGCTATGGTGCCCCCCTTGACTCTGAAAAACGTGTATATAAACCCGACCTTTTGCCCTAATAAAGTCAGTACTCAAGCAATACTTGTGTATTCAACGACTCTGCGTTCTACGAGTGAGCATCGCTGTGTCTTTGGCCCTCATACGCATGATCCCTCCGAGTTAAACCAATTTAAGTGTTGGTTTAGCAACCTATCGTCACTAGAGTATGTTCTAGGGGCAACCATTCCTATAAATAATAAAAAATAAAACTACAAACATTTTGGTGACCCCGACCATTGCATGAAATTCTAGTCAACTTGGCGACTAATTTCTGCACATACTTTGCTAGACAGATTCCCGATCAACTTGGCGATCGGATCTTCTAGAGTTAAAGTTGTGAAACCCTTGTTCAATAATTCAGATATTGAACAAAATTCATAACAAAGGGAATTTTGCCACGAATAAATTTCTAAGCATATTCCCGAAAAACTTGAAATTTTCAAGGAGTAACTTATCAACTTGGCGATCTGTTACTACAATATTGGAAATAAAAGTAGAAGAAGTCAACCCGGCGACTCTTCCAACTTACAACATCCATATAATCCGATTTCTGGAGTCAACTAGGCGACTCCCAGTATAATCGTCGATTATTTTTCCGAAATTGAAGTAGTCAACAAGACGGCTCTTCAACTGGAAAACAATAAATTCAAGTAGTCAACAAGGCGACTCTTGAATAACTCTGGTGTCAACTAGGCGACTCCCAGGATAATTGTCGATTTATTTTCCAAAATAGAAACAGTCAACACGGAGGCTTTTCACTGGAAAACAATATATTCAAGTAGTCAACAAGGCGACTCTTGAATAACTCTGGAAGCGGTAGCATCCATAAAAATTAAAATTTTTTTTTTATAATATAATCCGATTTACTGGAGTCAACTTGGCGACTCCCAGGATAATCGTCGATTAACGTTCGAGATTGAACAACAAGGAAGTTCTTCAAGTAGAACTCAACAACTTCAAGTAGTCAACAAGACGGCTCTTGAACATTTCTGGAAGCGTTTGCATCCAAAACTAAAAACATTTGTTTAACACACATATTAAATAAAATAAAAAATACTTTTTAAATAAAAAGGTTTTGAACTATTTGTTGGCTTTCTTTTCTAATCCGAAAATCCTTAATTGTCTTTGACCATAAATCGGTTGCGAGTAGAAGCGTAGCCAGCTTATATAAGCAAATCAATTATCTTCCAACGGGTCAGGCAATTGTTAAGGCAAAATGGAGGTTGATAATTTGATTGCCATACAAAGCCAAATTGGCGAAGAAATCCAAATTTTGCTACGGAACATCAAAAAGGATTCCAGCAAACGAAAGGAAAAGGCGTCGTATTTTGAAGACAGAAAACGACAAATTGAAGAGCATTGGGAAAAATTCGACCAAGGAAATAATAGTATCCTAGAATCATTAAAGGGTACTCCACATCCGCATGAGTATTTTGAAAAACAATATTAAAATCATATGCGGACGATTGTTCATCAAGCTATCGAAGAATTTAACTCAAAAATTCTCCAGTTACCGGCAAAAGAAACATCTTCAGAAGAGGTGGATCACATACAAAAGCTGATCAGACATCAAGCAGCAGTTCTGGAATCTATGTTAAGAACCATGAAACATATAGCTCCAGAAAACAAATTTACCTATAAATCGGTAATTGATAATTTATGGAAACAAATTGAAAGTCTTCATTTTGAAATCCACAAGTTATGTATAACACCTGAAGAAGTTGGCTATAGTATGGAGCGATTTATCTCCGCGGAAGAAGCAATGTTGCAATTCTGCCATCCATATGCAGACCCCGTTTCAGTAGCCACCAATCAAGCGGTTTCTACAATCTCTTCAATACAGTTGCCAAAAGTTTCCATTCCAAAATTTGATGGAAGCTATCTAAAATGGCAACAATTTCATGACATTTTTAATAAAATGGTTCAAGAATCAGCGATACCAAAAATACAAAAAATGTGGTATCTTAAAGCTAATCTGTCTGGCGAAGCAGAAAGGTTAGTCAGGCATTTAGAATTAACAGAAGTTAATTATGATACTGCCTGGACCATGCTTAAAGAACGTTTCAATAATAAGCGGGTCCTTTCGACTGCAATATTTGAAAAATTATTTGATCACCCTAATGTGACGAATGATTCTCAGTCAATAAAAAATCTGCATGACAATATCAATGAATCCTTGCAAGCCTTCAAAAATATTGGAATAAAAACAGATACATGGGATCCAGTCCTTCTGTTCCATATGACAAGAAAACTAGATCGGCTTACACACACACTGTATGAGCAAACTATTTTAGATACCAGGGAAATTCAAACAATAAAGGAATTCCTTGGGTTTCTAGAACAACGTTTTCTCGCACTTGAAGCCATCGGCGGAAAAATGCATAAAGAAAAACAAAAAACAAGTGCTTCAGCAACAACAAGTTCATTGGCATGCCTGTTTTGTCAAAAAGGGCATAGCATATACAAATGCGAGAAATTTAAGGAGTCAACTCCTGCTGAAAGGCAGACCACATGACCAAGCAATGCATGTCTAAATATACATGCATAAAATGTAACAAAAAACACAACACATTGCTACATTTAGGTAACGGAAAACCAAATACCGAACCTAAAACGTCCGCTTCTGCTGCTACGAAAAACAGTTGTGAGAACAAATACACACTGTTAGCAACGGCTAGAGTCATAGTGCAAGGACTTAATAATCAAGAAGGAGATTTTCGCGCACTGCTTTATTCCGGATCACAAATTAATCTGATTTCAGAAAGACTGGTTAAGCGTTTATCGTTGCAACTACAACCAACAAACCTTCGCATTGAGGGAGTTGGAGGTCAGCCGCGAATAAGTAAAGGACGCGTTAGTGTTTTAATTAAATCAAAACATAGCGATTTGTTTATTTACCTTTTGGAATAAGGGAGTTGCTGAACATAGGTAATAGGGACGGGGGCGCCGAGATAGGCGGTCGATCGATAGTTGCGATCGATGGGTTAGACAAAATTGGTTTTTTTTATGTTCAAAAATTCAAAGGGCACCTTAAAAAAAGAAAAAAAAAGAAACAAGGAACACACAGACACCCCCAAAAAAAAAAAACGATATTGAGATAAAATAAAGGGGGCGGCCCGAAAAAGGGAAAGGAGAAGGGACTTTTAGTTTGGGGAAATGTCTGGGCGGGGGGAAAATTCGAATTCCACGCAGGGAACTGTCTGAGGTGAGATTCCAGGGAGTTGCCGGACCGAGGGAAAGCGAAATGGTGACTTTTATTTTGGGGAAATGTCTGGGCGGGAAAATTCGAATTCCACGCAGGGAACTGTCTGGGGAACTGGGAACTGTCTTGGGAACTGGGAACTGTTAGCGTACCACTTGAGTCGCTAAGCCACTTGACGTTCACGGACAGCGCCAGCTCTGCCTGAGCTACCTTTTCTATTTTTACTAACCCTAGCGTATTAACTCCTTGTGTGGGAGACAATTATGATGACTCTGTACCTTTGTATATCTTAGAACATAAGCAATGCAATGTATTTTTAACTAACAGCCCCATACCACTTCTTTGCTATGGTGCCCCCTTGACTCTGAAAAACGTGTATATAAACCCGACCTTTTGCCCTAATAAAATCAGTACTCAAGCAATACTTGTGTATTCAACTACTCTGCGTTCTACGAGTGAGCATCGCTGTGTCTTTGGCCCTCATACGCATGATCCCTCCGAGTTAAACCAATTTAAGTGTTGGTTTAGCAACATATCGTCAAATAATAAAATTAAACTACAAACATTTTGGTGACCCCGACCATTGCATGAAATTCTAGTCAACTTGGCGACTAATTTCTGCACATACTTTGCTAGAGAGATTTCCGATCAACTTGGCGATCGAATCTTCTAGAGTTAAAGTTGTGAAACCCTTGCTCAATAATTCAGATATTGAGCAAAATTCATAACAAAGGGAATTTTGCCACGAATAAATTTCTAAGCATATTCCCGAAAAACTTGAAATTTTCAAGGAGTAACTTATCAACTTGGCGATCTGTTACTACAATATTGGAAATAAAAGTAGAAGAAGTCAACCCGGCGACTCTTCCAACTTACAACATCCATATAATCCGATTTCTGGAGTCAACTAGGCGACTCCCAGTATAATCGTCGATTATTTTTCCGAAATTGAAGTAGTCAACAAGACGGCTCTTCA